GTATGTACGTACCCGACATTCAACTCCATCGGTGTGAAAATGAAGAGTCACCACAGGAAGCAAGCAGCATTTGACGAATATAAGAGTATCAAAACCAAGACTCGGCGAGGAGCGAGTTGAGTTGGAGGCGGCGTTGTCCGTTCTCCGTTTCGGCTACTTGGCCAAACTCTACCGTATCCTCTACCGTCACATACCTTCCAGTGATACACCTTGTCTCAAGCGTCAAAACCCCCATTGGCATGAAGATCTTCAGGATTGCTCTGCTTTCCAGTCGGCTCAGCCGCATGTTATTGACATGTTACGATGGCTCGTGGATGGCTTCAAGGGACTCGGGACCGGGTGCCCGGCATCGGAGAGGGGGAGGGAGATGGCGCCGCAGCTCCCTGTTTGTCAACTTTAAGGAATGCCGCGCCTACGACCACATGGACGAGCTCCAGATGATTGGTCCTCACCCATGAAGCGTGCTGTTGAAGACCCTGATGCGTCACATCCCGGGTACCATACTACCTCCAATCGAAACGCGCGATGGCCCGAGGGGCTTTCTCTCGCTTCAGTTTCTTCCATGACTGCGGCGGCTCATCAGTGCGTGGCTTGCCGGGTTTGTTCAATGGTACAACGGTCAACAGGGGGCTGTAGCTCCCTGAAAACCCATCTTCTTGGATCTCCATGTGGGTAACGGAAGAGGGTTGAGAAATTCTTGTCTGTCACGAGGCAGAGACAAGATAGGCCCCCGTCCGTGCCGCATGTATTTCGACACGGCTGGGAAATGTTGATGCTGAAAATGAGGTCAGCTCGGCTCGGCTACATAGAATGAACGACAGGATTCGTGCTTTGGTAACCGAAGGTAGTGGAGTGTGGGTAATGGATTTTTACAGGTCCCGCAAGGCAACTCTCTCGACATCTGGTGATATTGATCTGTTCGTGACGAGGTGATTTTTGACGACATGAAGGTGTCGAGGTGCTCGAGAGATCTTGATGATCACTAGCCGAAATCCTCGTTGCAAGTGTGGAAGGTGAAAAACTTGAAGGGCCAGGTAGCTGCGACTGGCAATCTAGTGATGGGTAGTGACAGCGAGATCACGCTGCCTCTTTCCAACAAAGCCGTTTCAATGGTGATTTTCCGCCTGCCAAGGGAGACTCGTGTTTCAGGATTGCTGATTCTTGCCTTACTTGATCTTGATAGACTTTTGTCATGGGGTAGGCAAACAGCAGGTCATACCTGGAGCCTTGACCCCTCTCCTTTGTCCATAAACGGCAGCAGCGATCTGCTTGGGAAGAGGAACTTGAAGGCATCCGAGAACAAAGAGAGCGCCCATTCCAACCATCTCAGTGGATGCCCTGATTCATGATCAGTGGCACGGCTCGAGCACGGGACTGGGAACAATCAAAGATTTCCAGCTCCATCTTGCGAAGCCATCTCGGGGTTTCCTCCTACCCAGCCTTTACATAGTAAACCCCCATCAGGCTCGAGCTAAACAAGGCGCCGGGTGATGACAGTCGTTGAAGTCGGCCCGGGACCGCATGGCCGGCACCAGTCCCGCGACAAGGTATATTACGGACAAGGACTCTAGGTTACCGTCTGGTCCCCATCTTGTTCTCACTCCGATCTCTAATTGGTCGCGGCGGCCTATGTCAATTCGATGAATTTCTCGACTGTTACTCGCCAACCAGCCTATCATCAATCACAGTCGTGCCTGCACCTCATTCGGATTCAATGTCTTGGGAGCCTGAGCACGTACCTTTACCAACTTGGGGCCCTCTTGTGTGAAATACCTTATACACCCTTTGCTATGTGTAGTCAACATAGTTCGAAAGACTAATAGCAGCTAGGTTCCGTGGTCAGCCCTCGACGATCAGTTTGTGGTCAGGGCGACAGATCATAGTAGAAGCGAAGGAACCAAGTCCCTAAATAGACGTGATTCGTTGGTGGAGACGAGAAGGGTCAATATGGCACCGTTTTTGGGATTCTTCTCCCATCCCAATTGCTGTCCATTGAAAAACGCCAAAAGGGGGCTCCTGGACGATCGGTACCAAGCAAGTCCCTGACGGGGCACGTCTGACCTCACTGCGCTGAAGCGAGCTGACCGAAAAATGCAGCGGTACGTACCCCATGTTCACAGGTCGCCTATCAGCGTTCATCCAAATTTGCGGTAGCCTGGCGACAGGGACAGAGATGACTTGGACAACCCGGGACAGCTCATCTGATCGGCCTCGATTGTGAAATTTTCCGATGCATTTGGAGAGATGCTAGTCTTGCCAGTCTTCCCCACGAGTCCCTGATGAACCTAAACCAATGTAGATCATCCGCGACGGCCCTATCGTCCAGTGAGGGGGTGCCATGGAAGGTTATGAGGCTACTGTTGTAGCCCAATTCACACCCATACGCTCAAATATGAGATATCTCCCTGCCCAACCCTCGGCCACGCGACGTGGACATCATGATCCAGTCAGACTCGGACGTCAAAGGAAGAAGGCGGAGGGGCCAAATAGTGGACATATGACAGAAAGGGGAAGGAATGATGGAAAGGAGAAGGAAGTTGTAGTTCGACGCTACACCACTTCGGATATACGGATGCGCTAGGCAGGCGCAATGAGCCTGGCACGCCTGGGCACTCGTCGCAATTGGAAGAGTGAGCTCTGGGCGTGCTTTCAGAATTTTCTTTGCTACAAAGATTGCTGCCCACAGCTGCCGTATTCCGTCCAACTCGTGCGGGTTTGGCATGGCGCTCGCGTGCAATAGGTTCGTGGGAATCCCTTGCTCATTTGCCTCCTCTGCCAGGTTCCGCGGTACCTCCACGCTTTGACATGCAACCGCTGGACTGGTACGCACCACTGCAGGTTAGGTAGTATGTACTTACGGCTTACACCAATACAGAGCGCAATTTTTCCGTAAGATTCTTGTATGGCGTTTTGTTATTTCGCTGTTACGCTCTTACATTTCCGTAATTTTCAGTCCAGTCACTGCCCACTCCTGCTTGCACTGCTGCATGCAGTCTGACACTTGAATCTGGGGCGCACCTTCCTGCTACCCACCCTCATTAGTTCCGAGTCCCCACTGATGTGGATGTGTGGATAGGCGGCCCCCCCTCTGCCCCAAAAGCTCCCCAGGATCAGGACCACTGCGGCGGACAGAGGCAGCACAGAGCAAGCATTTCTGAACAAAAGAATCGTTGCAGCCAACGGTATTTCGGCCACCCTCGCTCCCGCCCGCACCGCAACCACCACGACGCCAATTAAGGTTTGCTCGACGAAACCTCACTTTTGCGACATCACCTCAACTCGGGCCACCTAATCAGAGCTGGGACTCCGAGTTCGATACGTACCTCCGTTACGGCGGCACAGTACGCGAAAAATTCAGCTGCTCAATGCCATCACCGCAACCGACACTGAATCCACCCGCGACTCCAACTTGAAATTTTGCTTCCATCGGGTTTTCCACTTTGATCTCTTCGCTTGCATTTCAGACCAAAACCCCAGGGCAGGGGCAGGGCAAGGGCAGCTACACCACTACCGACTTGCAATACTACCTCGACGCACTACATAGACTACGCCCCGAGCAATACATACACCTTTTTAGATGCGCTTGTTATTCCGAACGATACGCAATACGTCCAATATCTATTCATACGCTGCTTTACGACGCCCATCCACATCTCTCAACCTGAGCACTTGTACCGCCGGCCACACACACCGTATCCTGGCTGACTCTTGCGCGGCTGTCGACACCTCTCCCAGCTCCAGCTTTTCGTCCAGCATCCAGCTCAGTCATCTCGAGGTCCACTGCAACGGAACCCGGCTCATCAGTCACCATTGAATTCATCCACTTTCTCTTTCTCCTTCTGAGAACGAGAAACTCGACGCTGCTCCACCATTACTTGGCTACCACTACCATTGCCGCCGTCAACGGTCCGTCACCGGTCCTGTCACCGCCGACCTGTTACTCTTCCTCGAGGCTCTCACCAATTTGCCAGATTCTTTCTGCCGCTTTCTCCTGCTACTACGTAGTATATACCGCTGCTATCTTTCTGGGCGCATCCCTGGCCCTCCAAGCTGCTTCCCCATCTCCAACCTCACAACCACCCAAAGAAGGAAGACGACATCAGGGCCCGGGCGGCTCAACCACCAAGCGCAGCGCGGATACCTGCTACGCTACCTAGGCTACGTGCCCAGAAAAGCAGACGCCGGTTCGCGTAAATTAGGCTCTGCGCAAGCCAGCAAGCAAGGAAGGTCGGAGGTCGGAGGTAGCAAAACGGGAGCTCGCCTCAACAGGAAACGAAGGGATCGCACTGCAGCACTTCATACCACACAACGCCGTTAGCTACAGCACCCGACGGGCCAATTCGAACCCAGCAGTCCTGGTACCCGTACTCACTGGACCGAGCGGCTTCCACCCAACGTATCCAACGTCTCTTGGCCGTTCTGGTGGATCACCGAGCTGCCCCCCAACTCTCCAATCCTGGACGGTTCCCAAATAGGAGCAGCTTGCATACGGCTGCCACCTCATCATTCTGCCGTGGGTTCACAGACCGTCACAAAACGGCGCCGGCGGCCCATACCTTACCCGCCCCTTCCTCGCAAAATCCTACACCTGCCACTGCATGCTTCGAGGTGTCCCGTGTACAATACCTGGGTCCAACCCCGTACCAGTACGACCGCGATACTTGCAACCTGCCTGGTACCTACTTACCTGCCTTACAGGCTACTTAGCTCGACCTGCTGTTCACCCCCGTACGCCTCATTACCTCTGCTTCCTCACTTGCTGACTTGTGCGTGAGAGCAAGAGAGAAAACGCCCGAGTGGGACTCGGCCATTGTCCACAACCATTCGCTACACCTGCTACAAGACGTCCCCTCCTGCAATCCACGCCTTGCCAGACCCTTCGACATTTATATATCTTTCCCCGCACTCTTCCTTTATAACCATAGGGGACCCAGACTAGTCGGACAACGCCTGGAAGATGCGACGAAAGACTTCTCATCACATATAATCTCAGTTTTCTTCCTCCTTGTTCGTGGCACAACCCATCAGGAAAAGACTTGGTCCATCACTTTGTTCGTCCAAGCTTCCCTGCAACGGCTTTGCCCCTAGGGGATATCTCCCTTTTACCCAACATCATGTCTTCAACCACAGAGGCTCTCTTGGTCTCTCATAACTCCCCTTCGACTTTGCCCCAGGCCATATCCCGAGCCATGGCCTCAAATACTTCACCATCGCGGCGGGCACGTCCTGCCCAGGTTCAGACGACTCTCACGCTACAGCCCCATGTTTCCACCAATGTTCCTCCGCTGTCCGCCATAAGCACGTCGTCTGCCTCGCCCACTTCACAACAGCCCTCTCCGGCCTTGACATCGGACACAGCCGGCGTCATCTTCACAGAAAGCAGCTCCCTCCAGGATTCCCCCGCAACCTTCGCTTCTTCTACGATAAAGGAAGTGGACTCTTACGCTTCTACGATCAAGGGAATGGAGGAACCACTTACACCTCTCAACCTCCCCGAGCCACTTGCCCCGGCCCCTTTGTCATCAAAGACAAGCAGCAACTCGCTAAGAAAGAATGGAGAGAAAGTCGGCGAGAAAATCCCAAGACAACAGAATGCTATGGGCGAGGCTCTGTCCAAAACTAGCTTTGCGGGCAGTCTGGTTCGTCGTGCTTCAAATACAGTGAACAAAGCGCGCGACATACTTGCACGAAGAGCATCAACGAACGTGATCAGTCGGGATGCTGACCCCATGGTGGCGTCTTTCCGCCGTGGGAGCAACACCTTCCCACTCGGGGAACACAACTACAGAGGTTACTTGCTGGAATCAGATGACGAGTGTGCTATAGATGATGCCGGTCCGTTCGATGGGTTGCGAGACGCTCAAATCCCCCTGAGCATTGGGCCTGAGATTCCGGTCGCTTTACGCCAAGGTGTCATGTTGAAGAAAATCAGCAAGAAGAAGAAGGAAAAGAGAATCACCCTCACCCTTGATCCAGACACTTCCAAGATATGGTGGGACAAGAGTCGAACAGGGAGAAAGTCTGTTTTCATCGATGACATTAAAGAAGTAAGGACGGCCGAGGACATTCGACAGTACCGCCTTGACGCCGGGGTTGATGAGTCCGAAGAGCCCCGGTTTTTCTCGATCCTGTATACGGTTCCAGAAAAGTCGGGAACCAAGGTGTTGCATCTCATCGCCCTGAATTCCACCGACTTCCGGAATTGGATCACAACGCTCAACGCCATACTTCAGTATCGCCAAGACTTCACGACCAACCTGATGGCCTCCAACGAAAAGGCCGTCCACGAGTTCTGGCAGCGACAGATGAGGAAGAAGTACGCAGACAGGAACATTCCGGCCGAAGGCGAAACCATTGAACTTCCCGACATTGAGCGAATCTGTCGCTCTCTCCATATGCACCTCTCCCCAACAGAGATCCGCGACAACTTCAACGCTGCTAAAGCTGCCAAGGCTACCTCCAATGGGGCCTATGATCCACCCTCCCCTTCCAATTTGAACTTCAATGAGTTTAGGGAGTTCGTGCGGCTATTGAAGGCGAGGTCTGAGATAAGCCATGTCTTCAAACAACATACGGCCGACGCTAAAGCAGGGATGACCAGGCAAGAATTCATGAGTTTCTTGAAAGATATTCAATGCGAAAACGTGGAGGAAGAGCTTACGCATTGGAACAATATCTTCTCCCAGTTCGCGCGTAAGCGCAGATCTAAAGACGCCGAGCAGGCCACGAACGGGGACGAGTCATTGACCATATCCGAGACTGGCTTCACTGGATTTCTGACTTCGCCATTCAACAATTTGCTTATTCAGGAGCCATCCGAATATGCACTCGACCGACCTATGAATGAGTATTATATTTCAAGCTCACACAACACATATCTCCTCGGTCGCCAAGTCCGTGGAATCTCTAGTGTCGAAGGCTACATTTCGGCACTTGAGCGTGGTTGCAGGTGCGTTGAAGTTGACTGCTGGGACGGCCCGAATGACGAGCCGTATGTGTCACACGGCCATACCTGGACAACGCGGATCAAGTTTGAAGAGGTGATCAAGACCATCAACAAATATGCCTTCGTCAAGTCTCGCTTCCCTCTCTGGATATCGCTGGAGGTCCGCTGCAACGCTGCTACTCAGGCCAACATGGCAAAGATCATGATTGACATCTTTGGCGACAAGCTTGTCCGGGCGCCCCTCGACCCATCCTCGGATCGACTCCCTTCACCGTCCGACTTGATTGAGCGCATCCTTATCAAGGTCAAGAAGTCCCAACCAGTACCTAGCGCACCATCTGAGGAGTCGCTGAAGACTGAGCGACCTGGTCGGAGGCGCGGCAACAGCCTACCCTCGCCTTATCAGAGATCATCACCTTTGTCATCGCCCATGGATAACATACCCGTCGCTGTCCCTGGAAGCCCCTCGTTGAGTCCAAGTCCATTGTCGCGCTCGACACGGCAGATCAACACCATCACGGAGGGCGAGGTTCATTCCCACGGAGGGCCTAGTAGCAGCCCGAGTGAATACGAGAGTGATGCTGAAAAGGACTCGGGGAAGAAGGTGGTGAGCAAGATCAACCCTGTTCTTGGCGAACTGGGCGTATATTGCATGGGTGTTCACTTTGATGGGTTCGACAGCCCCGACGCTAAAAAGTTCAACCACATCTTCTCCTTCAAAGAAAAGACCTTTGCCGAGAGAAGCCAGCCAGGCGAAGCAAAGCGTGCTTTGTACCGTCACAACATGCGCTATCTCATGCGTGTGTACCCGAACGGAGGTCGGATATCTTCTAGCAACTTTGACCCGCTCCTCTATTGGAAGCGCGGGGTTCAAATGGCGGCACTTAACTGGCAAACATTCGATCTGGGAATGCAGCTGAATCAGGCCATGTTCGATAGTGGCACCGACCTGTCCGGCTATGTTCTCAAACCCCTCGAGGGACGTCAGATCCAGGTCGTTCCGACGGATGCTGCCGGGCAGCTGTTGGGTAAAAGACCGCGGAAGAAGATCTCGTTCAAGATCGAGGTCATCTCTGCGCAGCAGTTGATGAGGCCATTGAATCTCCCCAAGGGGCGGACAATTGATCCTTACGTCGAAGTCGAGATTTTCCTGGCCGATGACAAGAGGAACAAGCAAGATGGTGCTACAAATGCGCCAGCTCAGGAAACGCTGCTGAAATACCGCACCGACATCGTCAAAGACAATGGCTTCAACCCCGTTTTCAAAGGCAATAACTCTTATGAGTTCACTGTTACCACCAAGTACCCCGATCTCATATTTGTGCGCTGGAGCGTGAAGCTTGGCGACAACAAAGGATACAACGACCGCAGCCCTCCCCTGGCGACTTTCACAGCTAAACTTGGCGGCCTCAAGCAAGGTTACCGCACGATACCGCTGCTTGATCACAACGGGTACAGCTACCTGTTCTCGACCCTGTTCTGCAAAATCACCAAGAGCCAACCTACCGATATCATGGTTGCCTACTCCAGCGACGTTCCAAGGAACAGTGTTAGCAGGATCAAGAACATCTTCAATCAGTCCGGCATCAGCCCTAAATCCAGCATGGATAGCGGCCGGACCTGAGTCGTTTCATGCGGTTCGTTTCGGTACTGTATCATTATCACAATTTTTTCTATTGTCTGTTACGGGGATATTCAATCATCTCGAGCGACCATGTATCATCACTATCTCGGAGCACTTCACGAACTGTTTTATCTCGTGTGGGAGGCCGCATGTTTATGATTCATTTTTCAACTGTTTCATTGTTTGTGATCTAGCACATATACCCATACCCCCAATTTCCAAACATCACAGATCCGGCGCCGAGCGTTTCGTTTCGATTCCCTTGTGAGGATTTTTGTGTCATTTCTCCGTTGTTGTTCGAATGGGCAGAGCCTTTTCAATCACTAGGGTTGCATCTAAGGACTGGATCATTTGGTGTATCAAGTCTCATTGCTTTCTTCTTTTCATCACACTGCGTTAACTCTTGTTTGGCGGCGGGGTTCTGAATACGGCAACGTCAACATCGGGAGGGCTGCTTTGAGGTCTTTGTGTGCAAATTGGGAATGGCGCGAGGCAAACTTTAGAGAAAGGGGCATCAGAAGGTTGGGCTGGCTAGGGAAAGCAGGGAAAGAGAAAAGTGATTTAGTTTCTTTTTACTATTCTCCTCCTCCTGCCTCCTTGCTTCGTCGCATGAACCTTCACGGCGGGGAAGCTGGGGAAGTTCAGGGGACAGACATCATACATCTTGGATGGGAGGAACTTATGTTTTCTGGGCGGCATATCAAGGATGCATCAACTTTGCCATGAGCAAAGCAAAAGATATGAAATGAGAGGGAGAGAAAAAGGGCAACGGAAAGCATGGCAAGGGGTTTATTACGGACACAACAGGGCGGACAGGTTCTACTTTTTTTGCATTGGGGCATCACATCATCTCGGAAAACAACTACTATTACAATTTGTAAGACATGCAAGCATACTGGGAGTTCTTTCAAACTGTTTTGCGGCGGCGGCGGCGGCGGTGACCACAACTTCGTTTGGTTTGGTCTTGATGTCATTACTTTTTTTTCTTTTTCACTTCATGTCCATTATTTTTACTCAACCCTGTTTTGGCTATGGCTACGGGTTTTCTTGGTTTACCTAGGTAGCAATGAATCCAAGCGTACTACTACCTACCAACTTGTGCCAATCTTGCTTTCTTTCTGGTTTGTTTCGGATGCAGTTGTGACCCAGCAAATACAGATACCTCTATACAATCGCTATCCAGATTACTTGGAGACAACGGAAGGCATACACTGACGAAAATGGGCACGTTCCTTCGACGGCCGCCAAGATCCGGTGTTCAGGGGCATGTAAACAAATACAATAGACAAGAGTTGACTCATAGCGAGCGACTCCAAGCACAGTTTCAGGTTCAGTATATTCACCCCATCTTGATATTAACGCTAGGCCCATGCATATTTTTGGCTTGCTCGACATGACATAAAATTCTAAACACCGCCACGCCACGCAAACCGAGCTACTCCTACTCCTTTCGCCCACGCCTATTAGGCTTTGAGATTTCAACCATAGTTGATGTTTGTGATAGCCAAGAAATACACTATGGTATGGTATGGTATGGTACGTTTCGCTAAAAGCCAAATCGGACACTAAGTAATGATATAAAGAGGAATGACGTGAAAGCAAGAAAAGAAGAGAAGAAACAGGGTTCACAGCCAATTCTCAATCAATCCACGCCATCATCATTCGACCTCCTCTCCCCATTCCTCGCGTTCCCACCAAATTCCCCAGCACGAGGACTTATAGGACTAAGTGGAATGGGACTCCTCGCTCCACTTATGGGACTCCTCGCTCCATGCGCAAGCAATCCCACTCCGCCGGCGCCGGCGGAGCGACCCCACCGCCCGTTTGTTACTACGTTCAGGGCATTTTGCTCCGCCTCCTCCTGCTTTCGGCCGGCATCTTGGAAGTAGTCATCGTCGTCGTCGTCGTCGTCGTCCTCGTCCTCTTCTACAACCAGAGTACGTCCAGCTGGACTCAGTCTGCTCATAGCGACGTCGTGCTTGCCGTATATTACTGGCTCCTCATCGGCGTACATGTTGGGATCGCGGCCCAGAATTCGGTCGGCTTTGCTTGGTGTGCGTCGCGAAGGGGTGAATGCCGGGCTGCGCTGCGTCTGTGTCTGTTGCTGAGAAGGCTGCAGGTAGTGACGGCCCGCACCACCTTCTTGTTGTGGTTGTTGATTGGGCGGCGGCGTCCATGTAGGTGTATATACGGGGGTGATATCATCGTCGTCTGCTGGGCCCCATCCGGCTTGTCGCTCCCGCTGCCGTTGCTCTTCGCGCTCCCGAGCGATGCGGTCGCGGGCCTCAAGCCACTTCGAGTTCGGCTCCCAGCTCCAACCGTCACCGAGGGTGGTGCATACAGGGAAGGGCCATAGCCAGGCGTTGGTACCAAAGAGATGCAGCAGGTTGCGCCGCCACCCGAGATCGAAAGCATGCGGCAACTTGGTCGAGTCCTGCTCATCCAAGTATTCTTCGTAGCGTTTACGGGCGCGTATGCGCTCCATCTCGTCGTACGTGAAGCGGCGGGAGCCGGCCTGGAGTTCGGGATTGTGCTGGGCGGTAATATCGTTGTGTAGTGATGAGCCCGAAGGAGTTGTCATCCGTCGCAGCTCTTCACCTTCCTCTGGTCGTGTGACTCCCGGGATGGCGTTTTGGTGGATGTCCAGTAGTTGCTGACCATATTTGGGCAGCGCAATACCTTGGCCGGGCGTATGCTGGTTGACGTAGGTCCTTTGCATCGATTCGCGCAGCGGAGAGAGATAGCGCGTTTTCTCTAGGCATTCAATGGTGGTCTGTCCACGGCAAGCCAGGTATATATGCCATCCGGTAAAAGCGGTCAGGACGATACCGATAATTCCGGAGATGACGGAAAGCATGATATAGTTGACTGGCATGAGGGTTTCGACGTAGGTGGTGTTGCTCATAATCTCCTCCCACACCCACGATGCCGAACCGGCAAAGCTGACCCAGCAGAAAACTGAAGTATAGATGAGGAACAGCAAAAAGGCCTTGTGGTTGCGCAGGCCAACACATGTTGCAAGCCATGGACAGTGGTGGTCCATTTTCAGGACGCAGCGTTGGCATGTCGAGCAGTGATGAGCGCGGTCGGGCTTTCGTGCCTGGCACTTTTTGCAAAATCGGAATTCGCCATTGGACTTGACGGTGAAGGAGGTGGCAGTAGGGGGCGCATATGTAGGGAGGGTACTGTAGCCATGCTCGTTGGTGGTGCTCCCGGGCGAAGTGAAGACGGCGTATGTGTAGGACCACACGGCGAGGAGGTAGAGAACGACGGCGATGAAGGCATAGGAATGACCTGTGGGGGAGCGAAGCATAAGGTTAGCAGGCGCAACAGCGATGTTGAGACCGGGGGAGGGGGTCGACCTACCTAGCCAAGTGACGCGAGATGGGGTCGTACTAAGCGAGACATCGACATAGACGGCCCAAGTTCCTATACCGTAAACGAAGGCGAGGGGAAAGTAGGTGACGCATGTGCAGCAGTAGCGCTCGAGTTTCCTAGCCCAGCGGCGCGCCATGGTGGCGGGTAAGGAAGAAGGGGGATCGAGGGCGGTCGAGGTGGAAGGCGTTGTGTATGGCGTCGCGTCCATCAAGGATCATGTCTCTGTAAGACGCAATCGCGATCTTGGGTTGTAAAGGTTGGGCTATTGGATAGAATGTTGCCGGATGAACCGTGGTCGGGTCGTTCGTTAAGGGAAGCTCGTTCCGAGGCTCGGGGGTCTAGAGGCCGTGATCGCGAACCGAGGCTATCGCCGGTCCATCGTCAGGGGATATCGAGATGCGAATCTGCAGTGTCCAGGCTCTGGTGGCGTGGACAGGATGGACGGGGGAAACGTGGGAGACGGGGGAGCGCAACAGGCTGCTTCGGAAACAGATTGAAGAAGTGAAGTGGGCGAAAGCGGGTGGATGTCGTCGAAAGTCGAAACATCGGTGGCCCAGGAACTCCCGGAATGGCAAACAGCCATGCAGGGGGGCGCCTCCGTCCGCAATCAGCCTCAACAGGGGCCCTCACAACCAATCAGAACAAGAGCAGCTGTTGGTTCTCGAAGTCGAAGCAAAAGAACCCTTGTGACATCCATGCTCGTTGGTGCTGGAATGGGATGCTGTTGCATTTTGATGTCGAGGTACCGAACGTTGGCGAACTGTCACAATTCAACAAAGGATGAACGGCTACCTTGGATCCGGAAAGCCATAGGTACTCTACTGGCCTTCGGCTCACCAACTACCAAGTATCAGCTTTCGGTAGGTAGCTTCGAATTCCCAACTGCTCAACTTGGCCAATCATGCGACCAGATGAAATGAGTTCACAAGCTTTGGATGACCGGCTTGTCAGGGGTAAGTTGGCAGTTGCAGCGATCCACTGTAAATTAAACGGTGGGGTCTTCTATCAAAGTGACAAGCCGCCAAGCGTCGAATTTCCTTTATTTTTGCCTCGTGGGCGGATATGCAAAGCATCACGATCTTCGTGATCCAATGCCAGCTTCGAGCTTAAATAGCTGGTTGAGATGACTGCTGGACGTTGGGTAAACACTCGAAAGTCTTGTGTGATCCTGGAGTGAAGTTTTCGGCGGTAGACTACAGGTACCTCTACGCTCTGCGAGCCGTTGCCGAAACGCCTGCAGACAGCACTTGCACCGCTGATGATGTCGTCCGGTACCTTACTCCGCCAACGGCGCTCCACTGAAACCCGACCCCGCCCGGGAGCTCGCTAGGCGGTCGGGCTAACGGTCCCGGCAGCGGCCCGGTGCAGTTCAGTCCCATGTCCGTCTCGGTTTCCTGAACTTCCTCTCTTCAGTTTGCGAGTTTCTTCTGTAGGGCCAGGCCTGCTGCTTCCTTATCCGAAATACTTTGAAAGAGCCCGAAATGATCGTGCGATCAACACCTGGATCAGAGCCTGAGGAAGCTGGCCTGGTGGACATCACGGAAGGCGGCCCCTGAATGCGGGGAACTTGGAGCTGTTGACCTGACAGCTGTTGGGCGCGAGGTACGTAGTTGCAAGGTGTCCAGTCAGCTGTACCGCCCAGCCATGCAACAGCGCTCCTCACCACTTGCTACAGTGACCGCGGTCGCAAACCGCAACCGCAACTCCAAATAACTTCCATCACCTATACCTTGAATACATCTTGTATCTTGTGCATCTAGTGTGACATCTTCATCATAGTCTTTCGGTTCCAAAGAGCACCATATTCGTTAAATCCATCCTCAAGAAAGCAGTCCTGATTTCGAGTCGCGGAGACAACCTATTGAGGCCTTGCCACGATACCTCTACCCCCAAGAACTGCCCGCTGCCGTAGGCAGTTGCACAACTTCCGGGCGACCCAATACTTGACCATCTCACCATTTAGAAACATCGTTTAGCATCAAAGAAATAGCGGAAGCACCAGCAAAATGGCAACACCAAAGTTCAACTCCAAATCGCCCACCATCCGTCGCATCCGTAAGTTCCTTCATCATCCGCCTTCTTCGCTGCTAGACTCCAGGACTGACACTCGCTCAACACATCATAGTCCGCGAAGCCCAAGAACTTTCCGCTTCGCCCTCCCCCGATTACACAGCCACCCCGCTCGAATCAGACCTCTTCGAATGGCACTTTACCCTCCGCGGGCCCCCTAATTCGGTCTACGCCGATGGCATCTACCACGGCCGCATCGTTCTCCCACAAGCCTACCCGCTACGACCTCCATCCTTCCGCTTCGTCACACCTTCCGGGCGCTTCGAAGCCAACCGCGAGATTTGTCTTTCCATCAGCGGCCACCACGAAGAGACATGGCAGCCCGCCTGGGGAGTACGCACCGCCCTGGTCGCATTGCGCTCCTTCATGGAGACAGACCCCAAGGGGCAGCTGGGCGGTCTTGACGCGACCGACGCCGTGCGCAGGCGGATGGCGACCGAGTCGAGGGCGTGGAAATGCCAGGCCTGCGGAAAGTCAAACGAGGAGATCATTCGGGAGTGCGAAGAGGCGGCCAAGGAACACCAGGGAGAAGGTCAGGCCGAGGTGGAGGTGCCGAGCGATTTGAAGATGGGGTGGCGGGACGAGATGGACAAGAACGGCAGTGGTGCGGCGTCGGGGTCTAAGGCGCAACAAGACGAGGAGGATGCTGAAAGTGCCGAGTTGGCCGAGGGGTTCGTACAAACGGTGCCTTTGCCGCCAGCGTCACAACCCGAGCCGGTAGGAACTTCATCGTCCTCGATCCCAGCGCAACCAGGGCAGGGTGTGCCACAGCCGACGAGGACGATCCCCCTGCCTGCACAATTTAATTCTCACCCTCAGCTTATGATGCAGCATCGTCAACCACCGCAGGTTAGGGTTAGTAACGACGAGGTGACGTTCTGGATCGATCGGCTGATTGTAGTCCTATCCATCGCCCTCGCTGCCATGATTCTGAAGGTTTTCCTGGCATAGCTGTCATGATTCTCAAAGTCTTTCTGGCATAATGGTTTGGCTCTACAGCGCTGGTCTGCTTGCCCCTTTTTTGAAGTTTACACATTTGGGAATTCGGCGTTTTTGGGCGATCACAAGGGTGGCAAGGATGGATGGGTTTGGAAGGGCGTTTTCCTACAGAGATTGAACTTCTCATAGCGACACGTGGGCTTGTTGGAATACCCATGTTTTTATACACAGAAGACACAACATGGGATTTGGCATTATGACGCAATGGGGTTTTGCTACACATATATTACAGCTTGTCAGTAGTAATAGTAAGTAAGGTGTAACACCTCGTGCCCTCCCTCAGAAAGGTATCGAGCGATGATGTGGAAGAAACTAGCTAGGTTAGCTGAGCGAACACGATGTAATCTCTGCGATGATCAAGCCGAGTGCCTACTACGGCCTCAACTCTATAAACGTTTGTGTTTTTTTTTTTATCTTTGCTTCAAAGCGAAAAACTACCTCATTCACCAACGCACGCATCGATGCCACCATACATACACGCATCAAGACTACTCCCATACACATAGATCACGTACAGCACTATTAAAAGCAGGCATATAAGGTTTCATTTGACGACAGTATAACACATACGACCATAGATGGTAGAAAACTCGGGATCCCGTCCGCTCTCCCATAGATAAGCTACCAATCGCCAGACTAGTAGTTGGGTCGGTGACGACCAGCGAATCCCTGGTGTTGTATGTTTTTTTTGATCCTTTTCGCTTTTACTATAAAAACTTCACTGACCAAGAACTTGAGATTGTTTCCTCCTCTTTTTTTTTTTTTTTTTCTTTGGGACTAGTCGTTTGGTTTTGGTTTGCCTACTAGGTTTTTTTTTTTTTTTGGGGGGTTTTTTTTTTTTTGGGGGGGTTTTTTTTTTGGGTTTTTTTTTTATGGCGTTGTGGGCGTGGCTCATGAGCATAATGTTGTCTGGCCATACCTGAATGGCTTCCACGTCGCGAACCGGACTGACCATTAGACTACTTGTTGTTCATTCGTTGAAGAGAAGTTTCTTCGAACATGACTGACATATGTGACACACACAAATGGGTGGGTGGGATGCTGTTAGATTGTGGTTACATACCAAAGCTTGATATACCTGATCTCCACTACCTACGCAGGTTAGGCATACCATACGAAGGAAAAGCGGGGAGAAGTTCTAAGTAGAGGCATTGCGCTGGTGGAAGAGGGAGTTGTCGATGGCGGGAGCTTTGCTGGCGAAGTCGAGAAAGAGAAAAGGTTACAAAGAGATGTATTATCCTGTCGAAGTTGACCATTGAATATAACCGTTACCTGTTTGATATATTGCTGGACGAACTGCTTGCGGTTGTTGGCGTCCTTTGGTATACTGTGTGGAATGGGTAAATGGGTGTCAAAGGGGTTGGGTGACGAGAGAGCTAGACACATCCGGACTCTTGACCATCAGTCTTATGTGTATGACTTTCTCCCTAATCCTAGATCATATCGTGGGGTAAGATGTTGAAGGTTGTTACGCAGTGAGAGAGAAAGGTCAAGTTGAAACGGAGGAGTGACGGATGGCCATGAATGATCAATTTATGACCAAGTCAAAAAGTGGTACAGTGGTATTCGCTATGTACAGAATGCAATGCAAGCCTCTCTTGTCTTCTCTCTCTTCCATCCCAACTTCAACAAGTTAAGGCGGTCTCAAATACTTCTTCCTGCTACTTCACTGTAACAGCACCCTCCTGTCTGTCCGTCCAGCATGCCCGCCATATCCATATCCGTCTACTCCTCGCTGTAGCCTTGAAGTGTGACAAAGCAAAACAAAACAAAAAAGCCAAGCAGATTGATTGGGGATGCCACAAAAAGCACAATTCAAATCCCGTCCGTCCATGCCATGCCGTGCCAATGCATGCTAGCGAATTCAAACACGCCCACCCGCCTTTCCATTCTTTCCCACCCACCACAAACGCCTGTCTGGTCCGAGAAGAAAATCGACACGCTCTAATCTCAGATACCACATGATCACAAGATGAAGAAAAAAGAAAAGAAAACACGTAAGAGTGGTCGCTGGTGGTTGAGCTCCTTGATCTTAAAGAGCAAATAGAAGATTAAAAAGAAGTGTATGTCAAGCTCTAGATGATGAGAGCATTATGAAGAAGTGGCGTGTTGTATAGATTGCGCACACGTCGTAGTCGGGACAAGAGAAAGTTCGATGCCTCGCACCACTCTTGTGAGATCGGTGCCGTCAAAGTTGAGCAGGGCAAGGCCCACGCAGAACCTTTCTAGCCTGCGTGGTCGGCGCATCAAGCTTAGACAGCTGAGTGATACACGCTGTATGATCATTGCAATCTTTATCGGCGGCTGCTCTCTGCTGGCGGTCTCGGTATTCAGTCGCTTTCTTTCAGTCGATGGGCCAAGTTCCTTCCCGCCCGTTGGGGGTTCCTTATCCTTCCCGTCATCATCGAATGACTCCCCAGTCACCTGAGCGTCCGCTGCCGCCTCCATCCAGGTCGTGAACACTTTTCCTCGGGCTCTTGCCGAAGAGGTTCCAGAACCGCAACGTCTCATCTCCGGCACCCGTCACCACGGTTTTGCCGTCCGGGCTCATGGCAAGGTACAGCACCCGATAAGTGTGACCTGTCAGGCTGGCGACTTGCGTCATGGAGGGGTACTTCCAGACTACTATCTGATTTTGGCTATAACCGTGCGTCGAGACGATTTCGTTGGAGTTTTTGGACCAGGCAATGTTGCAGACCTGGCTGCCCGTGTCCACCTCGTTGAGTACCGTGCCGCGAACGGTGTCGTGAAAGATGATGCGTCTGTCAGCAGTACCGCCTCCGGAAGCCAGGAGACCGCGTTGATGTGGTGACCAGGCTATCGCTTTGACGGCTGCTGTATGGCCGGAATATTTCCAGAGTGGCGTGTCCGAAAGCTTATCCCATACCATCAGCTTATTGTCGTTTCCTCCACTGGCGAGTTGGCCATCTTCGCAATTCCATTTTAGACCGCAGACCTCCTGCTTGTGACCAACCAGCTTTTTTAGCCATTGATCCGGCGCTCGGACGTCGCGATGGTATATTAGACGATCCCGGGACCCTGATGTGAGAATGTGGGTGTTCCATGCCAATGCTCCTACCCTGCCAGTATGACCCGTCATCGTCCTGAGCCTTCTCGCTTTCTCAGCATCCCAAATCTGCACTAGTCCTTTATGTGTACCGATGGCAAGGTGTGTTCCCTTTTGTATCCAAGATACGCTTGCAACGGTGTCGTCCTCCAGAGTACACAGCTTGTTGACCCTGCTTGTTTGCGCATTCCACATGTAGACGCTGGATCCCAACCCAACGCCCAGGACGTTGGCGCTCCCCCAGTCGACTAGATTCAAGTAGTAGTCGTCTAGCAACTCAGGAGCATCCAACACCTTATACGGAACCTTGCTGATCGCGCGCGGCTGCTTTCGCGGGCTCAGTAACAGTTGTTGGCTCTTATGTTTTATGGGTGAGAGACTGTAGATTTCGGCCCGGGTGTCCAGGTTGATGGCGTGTCGACTTTGTGGCGTCCTTGATGGCGTTGGATGGCCGCCAAGGCTAGCATGTCGTGGTGATAGATACGAGAACAGGTTCTTGTGAGGTGTAGAGGGGGTAAGGGTTGTTGGTGCTGCCGCGGCTGGGAGTCCATTCCGAGGAGGCGTCTGAGACCTTGTGCCCTCATGTAGATAACCCCGCGATGCTCTCCTATGGTCTGGTGATAGAGACTCCGGGGCAATCTGTGGGACAGTATCCTCAAACAATTCTGTTCGTAGCACAGTTGAGAACGTACGATTTGCTTCCTCAGCTGCGAAATTGTCAGCAAGGCACTCTAGGATAAGACCGGACCATGACTTACTTTTCTGAAAATGAAGCTCCCCCTGCGGTGTGCGCCTTTTCTGTCTGGGCGTCGCTGGAGAGCCCTCTTCATGCAAAAGACTAAAGCTGGCTTGCAAATCTTGACCAGACCGAGTGGGAATGAACCTGGTTAGATGTCAGAAATGCGATCCTAAATGTCGACAGAAATCCCACCCCCAGCAAGACATACCTATCTCCATTAATGCGTTGTCGCTTCCTATGCGAACTTGGCCCTGGTGAATTTTGGCGTTGCTGAATTTCCCGGCGCAAAGCGCTATCAACTGCTCCGACGTCCAAGTTGTTCACATGGTTCTCAGTTCTGGTTGGTGCCCGTGGGTTCCTCGCAATCTCAGTCGCCGGTTCCTCGCGCGAGTTTCCTGACGATGGTGGTGGAGGGGTTTGCAACCTCGTTGACCTGGTTACTCTCGTTGTTGATGGGTGGACTGCCTGGCTGCGGGTTTCATGACTGGACCTTTTGGTGCCGGCCGAATGTGCGGCGCGCCCGGAGACGTCGCCGGTGGCCACCATGGTTGATTTCGGGATTCAATACTGTGGTAAACCTGTTGGAGCTTGAGTTGCTGATACGACGTTGAGGAGCGGGTGAGTAGTAGACCGGGTGCGGGTGGTCTCTTGATATCTTGCGACGGCAGACTCGGGTTGGCTTCGTTTGCTTAAAAAGAGGGGAATGCCCGAGTCGGCGGCGGCGACGAGGTCGTAATAAGATTGATGCAGCACGTGCCAGTTGTATCTGATCTTTTATCCTTGGCGCACTTGTTGATGTCGTCCCAAGTCCGATGTGGTGGGAAGCCGGTGGGAAGGCAAACAGGTATGGCAAGCGGCGGTGGTGAACCGATCGACAATGCGCTGCGATGAAAGACTACCTGTACTCTGGCGGGGACCACTGTTGCTTTAGGGGGGCTGCGGCGGCGGTTTTCGCAAGATTAAAAGTTGTTCGTCGTGATCTAGAGTGTTGTCGTCGTGAAGAGAGAGTGTGAGTATTCCCACATGCGCGGCGCAAGAAGCTATCGATGCTTGGTTTCAATACGGGTGCACGTCAATGAGTGGTAATCCCGGGGGGTGGCCTTCTTTCGTCCCTAGTATTAATTTCGGCGATCATAGGTGGTGCAGCAAGGTTGCGCGTCGGAACCGGCTTGTCAACGTTGAGACGGCGACAGCATTAAAGTCGTGAGCGAACTCGGCAGGCGATGGACCGGAGGCAAGGTATCGGGATCAAAGGTTGAATGTTGGAACCTGGTGTCGCCTGGTGGTGGTTGTAAAGTCGAGGTAATCTCTGGAAAAGGTAGGCCCCAGGGGTGGACGGCAGGTGGACGGGTGGGAGCGGGCGTTGATTGAGTGAGCGTCGGCTGCCCACGCCCTGCCCACTCACCACTCACTGACGGACTGACGGAGTCGCGGCAGACTGAGCCAGTCGCGCCAGGCCGCTGACTAGCCGTATTGGGGCAAGCGGGCCCTGCAACGGCCCTGTGGCGCACAGGCCATCAAAACATTGACCCGCCATTGCCTCCCATCCGCTCCACAAAGCCCAGCCAGACTTGCCAGACATGTCCCGGTCAGCGTCAAATCCAGGGAATCGCGAAACTCGAATCCACCTTTCTCTTCGATGTTGTGGGCAGCGGGTCCAAGCATCGACCTTCATTACGTTACCAATACGATCAAGTGAAAATTACACTTTCATGTGCCCTGACCCAGCTGTCTTCCGTCCCTTTCCCCAAGGACTGGACCCCCTCCTCCGCCAGCCGGAAGCAAGAATGCTGACATCAAAGCCAACATCCACATGGGCCCAAGGACTCGTACTACCGACACAAGTAACTGAACCATGACATGTGGGGTGAATTTTCAAAAAAAAAAAAACACATGGACCTGGAGTCTCCCGTTGATCGGACTGAAGCCGGCAAAACCCGTCTTCCATCTTGCCCTTTTCGTTTGTAAGTGGAAGCCCGAGACGGCAACATCGACCAATCCACACAACTCCTCCCCAAGCCGCTTTTCGTTCGTTTGTCTCCTCCCTCCCCTTGCTGGATGAAGAAGAATGCAATATTTATCAAATGGTTGGGCAGTCTTTCAAATCACAAGCGGTGAAGAGGGGCGAACAGATAGACGAGCTCCCGTCCTGTCTCTCTCGTCTTCGTCTTCTCGTGATTGTTTGTTGTTGCTCAATGTTGTTGTTGTCTTTGTTGTTTTCATACCATAAGGCCCAACGCCAACGGTCCACCAAATGCAGACCTTCATCCATCCCTTCGCTGGTTCGGTCCCGCCCCTGCCTCCTGCACTGGCACTGCAGGCAGCATGCCGCTTTTTGTTTACTATGTACTTGTGTATGATTCCGGCTCTTGTGAGAGCAGGGCGGGGGGCAGGGGAGTACTGTGTAGGTACCACAGCGCGTTTGAGAGTGCTGGTGTTGTTGAAGACTCCCGACTGGTTGCTTTCTCCTGATGTTAAGTTGTCAACTCCAGGGAGAAGAGTCCGCGTTGCCCTGTGGTTCAACGTCGCTGGAAGTTACAAGCTGCCCTCTGGGCCGTAAACCGTATCCGCAGGGGGGGCCACACTGCAGCCGACCCCACCAGAGCAGACAGGGAACCACTTTTTCGACCGCGTTTAATGGCGTTTTGAGCGCGTCCTTTTGCGTTTAGGACGCGTTCATGGCAACGTCAGCGTATGAGATTGAAGACAACAACAGTCAACACCTCTGCATGGATATAAAACGCTAGGGTCCACGCCCTTTGATTCTTGTACAAGTTAGGTACCAAGCTAACATTTTACATCCAAGCAGAGGTGAACATCGAATGCATGGAGACAGAGGCCAGACTCGGCACTTCTTCTGTACATATGTACTTGTACCATTCCTGCAATATCGATTTGGCGACGTTCGAAAACGGATTGGGGAAAGCTCAGAACCTGAGATCTAGACAATGCCACTTTCCGAAAGCCAAGGGACTACTGGACTGTAATAACCGCTTGGAATGTTTTCTGTTACTATTTCCATTCACTGTTTCACACCCTCTCTCGCAAAATCACAGCCTGTGTCGGAGACAATGCAGGAAACGTATGAATGGAAGTATTCGCATTGCATTCCTAGGTAACCGACTGAAAGACAACGATACTGTTTGTGGGGAAGCTGTTACAACTTACAATTGTACGCCTCCCACGCCGGTGCCGTTTTAGCTCCCCTCGTCTTCACATGAAACGATGAAGATGCTCCAGGGTTGTCGAGTGGCATCAGACAACATGGATCGAACGTGCTGATTCCTACCCCACGGCATGGACTTTGGGCCCAAGGGTAGGTAAGATGCGGATCTTGAAGATACATACGATACATACCGGTCAGCTTACACCTCAGAGTCGCTTTAGAAACTGGGTGTAGGATGCGTGTTTGCGATCTCGGTGGTAGAAGGTAAACTTCGGCAAGAAAATACAAATTCTGAGAAGAGAAGAAGCCCAAGACAGAAACGCCACCTGACCACCCATACTGTACAAGTTAACCTCATCCTCCCAGGTCAATAATATTTTCCCACTTCCTTCTCTTTTGATCTCCTCCACCCTCCTTAATCCCCATCCCGGACCAGCATACTAATACTCTCCCCAAATACAATCCTTCTAATCGCCTCCGCAAAAAACGGCGCAATATCCAACACCTCCAACTTCCCACAAACCACCCTCGGGTCGACATCATTCTTATTCTTGTCCGGCAGCTCCTTCTTCCCTCCAGCTCCAGCTGCTCGGAAAGCTTCAAGATGTCGATCCTGCGCCACCGTGTTCGTCACCACCACCCGATCCAGCGCCGACGCATTAATCCTCTGTATCGCGTCGCCGCTAAACACGCCGTGCGTGATGAGTGCAATCACTTGGACGGCCCCTTCGCGCTTGAGCAGCTTGGCCGCACGCGTGATGGTGTTGGCCGTGTCGGCGAGGTCGTCGACTAGGATGCAGATACGGTTGGCAACGTTGCCGACGAGCATCATGGTTGGGTAGTTTGTGTGGGTTTTGGACGGTGGGCGTCGCTCTATGAGGATGGGGAAGAGGAGTGTCAGCGTCTCTTTATTTGTTATGAAGCGACGAGTCTGGATGTGATTCGGTACAGTGGTCACGGATATGAAGAGGTGAGTTCGCGCCTCCTCCCCCACGAATGAACTAACCTTTGTGGATGAGAGCAAATTGTAAACCTAGACTGTCAGCAATGGCGGCGGCGCGTTTAGCCCCGCCGGCGTCCGGGCTGACTATCACGGCTTCCTTGTAGTTCTCGATGTGGTGCTGGATGTACCGCTTGAGGAGCGGTTTGGCGATGAGGTTATCGACTGTCATGACTCCAAGTTAGACGGGTGTGTACTTCCCCTTTCCCGGCTCCTGGAAGGGAAGACGCAGTCGGGCTGGGACATCAATCTCACCGGGAATATCGAAGAACCCCTGATACGTGCTCTCATGCAAGTCGCACGTAACAATCCGATCCGCTCCCGCACACGTCAACAGATCCGCAATCAACGATCCCGCCTGCGCCATCATCGGCTTAAACCCGGCCTTCTGTTGGAACGCCATCGCCATGGTCGGGTTCTCGTAGTCGTGCGTGGTGAACTTGTCGTTGGCCTTTTGCTGTTGGGGCTGCTTCTCTCCCAACGAGTTATTACCATCGTCGCTTGCCGGTCCCGTCACCGTCACCGTGGCCGGTGCCTTAACCATGTCACGGATGTCGATACCACGGGTGATGCTGCTGTTGGACAGGCCATTGACGAGCTTAGACACGCCGTTAGTCAGACCGGCAGTTCGTGGGATGTGTGCAGCCGGGGTAGGCGGAACGCTCTCAAACGTGTACGAGACACCCCCTTGACCTTCCGTAGCTGTCATCGCCGCCGCATCTCGATTTCTAGACACCAGCGGTGTCCCAGTCCTGGTATACGGCAGGTCTGGCTGGCGGGAGTAAGGGAAGAACGGCAGGACGGCCGTGACCCTGCGAGCGGATCCCGTCTTGCAGGCCGATATCATGATGCAGAGTTCGATGAAGTAGTCGTTGACAGTGACATGACCTGTTCCCGCTGTAGCTGAAGTCGAAGAAGATCCATCGGTGTTGTTGTTGTTGTTGGCCGCGTTTCTGTCGGTTCCCACCCCAAACGACTGGATGATGTAGACGTCCTTCCCACGTATTGAGTCCCTAATCTCGCAGCGTGTCTCCCCCGACGAAAACTTCTCCAGTACGCGGCTTGCCGGGGGAATTCCTAGGTACTCGCAGACGCTGTCGACGAACTTTGGGTGCGAGCTACCGCTTAGGACGACGATGTTGCGGACCATGACTGCTGTCTGGCTGTCTTTTTGTCTTTCGGTATACGTGTGTGCACTTTGAGTATGTGTACGAAACACGACGGGATGGCGCTGGCTAGTACCAGCTTCGTTGCCGTTGATGTTTCTACTTGCTTGTCGCTCAGTCACCTTCCTGGACTTCTCCCCTCTTTCCAGTCACGAGTGTCCTCTCGGAAAACTGCAGTCATGGATGGAAAAGGACCGTGATTGCAAACAGTGAAGACGTGATTAGGTGTGTAGAGAAGGGATCAAAAAGGAAGATAGACGGACACGTCAGGAGGACAAAAGGAAGAAAAGAAAATGGTCAGGTATCAAGCCGCTGGGAAGAAGTTGGGAGTGTTGGGAATCAAGTATCTTACGACACCACCTCCAAGTCGGATGGCTCATCAAGGTTCCCCGACCTCCCAAGACGGGTTGATGTCGTTACACGGAAGGCGGCATGGCCGGCTAGTACGATAACTTGGAGCAATCGGATGTTCCGCCTTCAAAAGTCCCTTCCTTCTCTCTTCTTTCTGCTAAGCTCGAGGACGGGAGAAAGACCGGACGCATGCTGGATTGTACCGAGACATACATGATATACCATTATACCATCCCCTACAACGTGCTTGCCAAGGGGAATCATCAACTATCGATATTCCATCCGAAATCCCAGCGGCGATGATACGCAGCTCAAGTGATAGCACATGTCAAGTGCAGCGAATCACCGAGTGGGATTGGGGGAGCTGAAGCTTGGGTGGGAAGATTGGAAGGCGGGGAGATAAGACATGGACGGGAAGGAAGGATGGAGTGCCGCCGAAAATGTGACAATATTGATGCTGGGTCAAATAGGGAAAGCCGTGACTTACACGTACTACTGAACTTACAGCTTGTCATACGAGCACACTCCGTACTTTTCCTACCTTTGTGTGACAACTTCAGCGTAACCCAAGTATAAAGCACAACCGCCTCTTCGTCACATATTTCCCACCATCCTCACCATTCACCTATATCAAGATCCATCACAACGGCAGTGCAAAGTCAACATTTTATGGGGGCCAACGCAATCATATTCCTCTAATGTCTAAACCCAACTGCTGTTTTGCATCCAATAATCTCTAACCACCTTTTTGTTTTGTAACCCTGAGGTTGATCCAACACTGCGCTCCATCGTTTCCTAGGCCCCCTTTTTGTCGAAAATCCAAAATGCAAAGCAAGTTCTATAACGAGGGGGCCCAAACGAGCCAACGAAAGAAATCCAATGGTGTTTTGCATCACCTTCCTCCTGCGCAAATAACAACAACAGCACACATCTCCCCTATCCAAGGAACCTCAAAAGGGCCCTGGCCTTATCTCATCTGCAAAGCTGCACCTTACAGTCCCAAGAGGGCCATAGCACCGGGCTCGCTGCAGACGTAGATGACATCGTGCTCGTTGGTGAAGCCGTTGAAAGTGGTGGCCGAGCACTTGGTGTAGGCACCCATGTCCTCGAAGTACAGCCAGTCGCCAACATCAAGAGTCTCGCGGAAGCGGATGCTCTCGGTGATGCGATCAATGCCGTCGCAAGTGGGACCCCAGATGCTGTACTCAATGGCGTCCTCCGCAGAAGACTCGTGGGCAGCAACAGAGTTGTACATGGTGCGGCCGCCAGTACGGAGGATCTTGGCCACAGGGTGCTGGTGATCGAACATGATGCTGCTAAAGTTTCCGTACAGGCCATCGTTGACGTAGACCATGTAGCTGGCATCGCCGTTGTTCACCGATCCGTCGTCGCTCATAGAAGAAGAGGAATCGGAGACCGAGACAGCAGAGCCGCCCGGGATGGTGCGGCGAGCAATGATGTTGCAGGCAAGGGTGAATGCCGAGGAAGCGTAGTAGCGACCAGGCTCAGCGATAAGGTTGACGCCGGTATGGGCCGGGAAGTACTCATCGAGGGCAGCACGCAAGACGTTAGCCATCTGCTCGAAAGTACCGTCGCTGCAGAAACCTCCACCAACGTCGAGAGTCTTTAGGTTGTAGCCATAAGCAGCGGCCTGCTGGAAGACGACATGAGCGTCCTGAACAGCCTTCAGGAAAGCAGTAGGATCAGAGGCGCCGGAGCCAACGTGGAAGCTGACGCCAACCACGTTGAGGCCTAGCTGGCGGGCAAGGCCTAAGAGACCATCGGTCGAGTCGAGGGAAGCGCCGAACTTCATACTGAAACGGCAAAGGGACTCAGAATCGTCGGTAAGGATGCGGAGGAAGAGCTCGGCGTCGGGATACAGGCGCGCAATCTTGCGCAGCTCATCGGCGTTATCGAAGGTCATCTGGCGCACGCCCTGCTGGGCAACATAGCGCAAATAGGAGTTGGTCTTGCACGGCTGTGCATAGATAATGCGGGAGGGGTCGACGCCCATGCGGAGGACTTGCTCGATCTCGGCCTTGGAGGCACAGTCGAAGCCGGTGCCGAATGCGGCCAGAAGCTGCAGGAGCCTGTCGTCGGGGTTGCACTTGACAGCTGATAACAAACATTCAAGTCAGCAATCCGAATCTTCGATACGGGGCTCATAGTAATCGAAAATACTCACCATAGAACGGCTTGACGCGAGGAAGGTTCAACTTCCAGCGGAGGTGCTGGCGGTAGACCTCGCCGAGATCAGCAACAAAGAAGGTGTCCTCATCGCCGGGCTCGCAGAAGTCGTAGTCAATGCTCTCCACACGCTGGCGGAGGGCATCGCCAATCATTTGTTTGGCGACCAACTTGCCGTTGGCAAGGCCGCGAAGGTTATCATCGTGCTTCAAGGAGCCATTTTTGATGGTGTTCAAACTGTCGGTTTGACACTTTGAAAAGACATGATTGTTTGTATAATCGATGAAATCGATAGTGCCCATGCGGTCGGAGACAACAGTCGGCATAACCATATCCCAAGATTTGACTGGGGGGATAAGATCGAGTGTTGGTAGTGGAGTTTGCGAGGTTTCGGAGGTTCCCGGTGTGAGGGGGAGTTTGCGTGTGTTGGTTGTTGTTGGTTTTGGATTTGTTGTGTAGTTAATGTGTCAAAAAGGAGCAACAAGTGCTCTTGAAATTGGTCTTAGGGGGGTCGGTGTCGGTACGATACTGATCCCTGGGCGATCTGACGAGGCCTCCTCGACTCTTCCTCCGTTAGAGGAAGAACCGCAGAACTCGTCCTATGCGGCAGCTGACGGTTGGGACTGTATTCAGGTCCTTGGTTGGGAGAGGGGTCGAAAAAGAGAGCGTCGAGCTTCTTAGAGACCCTCAGGAGCGGATGGGGGAGGTACGACGTTGATGATGTGGAAGGTCTTTCTGAGGCTGAAATCTTGGTCCGAGACGAGCTTTACGGCCGAGGAAGCCGTGTTAAATAGGGTTGCCTTTGAGAAGACCAAAGGCAGTCAAGGGAGGTGGATGCTATGGCGATGACGACGACGTGTCCGTCCTGATGATGGGCGCAATGTTAGCAACTTGACCGTGACCAAGTCGTAAAGAGGCAGAGAGGATGCTGTGCGAAGGTGAAGAATGTGTGAAGAATTGTGTTGGATTTGGGGTTGCGAGCTGTGATGATCCCTCCACAACTATGATGACACTGGATGTAGGTCGTCTGGGACGCAGACTCCGACTCGGGTAGTCGGCCAAGCCAGCCTTTTTGAGCAGTCCGCGACAGGTTTGCCACATGGAAGAGCTCCCCACTCTACGGGGGCAGACCCAGAGAAACCAGGAAGAGCTTCCATCCCGTCTCTTTGGAGCACACATGTGATCCGGGTCGGGTGTGGCTGGAAATCAGAGGGTAGAGCATTCGAAGAATCATGGGATGGAATTGGAAGAACACCGCCGTCACCGTCATTGACTTACCCGTTATCGCGCAAGAAAGCAAGCTGTGGATTGTATAGAGTGTTTGGAGTGGAGGGGGCTACGTGTGTAGTTGCAACAGTTGCAGATGAGGGAAGAGGGAAGAGGAGAGAAGAGAAGGAAAGAGCTCAAAAAGGTCGCGTGGAGGAGGGGAGGTTAAAAGAATCAGGCGTCAGGGGGGTGGAGGAGGGCGGGGGGGTCTTGGACTCGGCGGGCCGGGGCGGGAGGTCGACGATTTCTGCTGCTGCTGCTGCTGATTGTGAGTTGCTGACCGCGCTTGTTTTGTCAACTGAAGTGGAGGGGCCCAGGCTCGATTCAACCGAGGAGACAAAAGATGGAACCTCAAAAAAGCCTGCCGTGGTGAGGGCAAAGGAGCGGGAGGGCAATTGGCAGGGCACGGGCGTCTCTTTGGCACTGAAAGCGAGGCCAGCAGGTCGGAGGCTGTGCTCACATCCTGCTAGCAAAACTTTTTTTTTCTTGATTTCCGCCCACAAAAAAAGGGACATCGCCCTGGTCGCCTACGGAGCGGAGCCCCCGTCGTCCAGCCCCGGCCGCCATCTCGATCGTTTTCCATTCCGTGATTTTTTCTCCAACAAGAAATCAGAAAAAAATCCAATCGGCGCTGGAGAGTTACCCTAACCACGTACGGCACTTGGTGCTACCCTGGCTCAAACCCAGCTAGCCGTAGAAGGAAGCAGAGAAGCCAGAGAACATCACAGGGGTCCAACCTTTGCTGCCCGCAACGCTCTCGTAATCACGCTTTTGCTGGACAGACATTGGGCATTGAGAAGCTTCGGCCGCATTCGGTCTTCCGTCATGATTCGGATTGGTGATCGTTGCTACCCGAAGTCTTTACACTTGGACTTGTTAAATATGACGACGGCAGCGACCGTCGGGACTCCCTTTCGTCCCATGTTTGCGCGCATATCCCTGCTTGATAGCATGTGCATTCTCGGGCAATCCAGAGAGTCTTTGAAACGAGGGACTTTCAGACCGCAACTCCGTGCGCCGCCAAAACGTCGCGTGAGCCCGATATCCCTCTCATCTCCGGCGAGATTCTAGATTCATGCCGGGCCGCCATGCGAACCGCGTGAGCAGATAGGGTTTTTAGGTTGGGTGTCGAGAATGGAGACGAAAAGGAAGTGTCACGAGCGAGGGCTATGAACCCCTCACCTAGCGCGATATTGAGCAAGCGCCGTTGGAATAGGGTGACTTGCTAGTTTCGATAGTATCACTGTATCACACACAAACTGCACTCAGGACATTGTCGCACGACATCGCCGACATCGCCGATTTCATATTGGCAACAACGACGGTAGACGACAAAAGACCAGTCAAATCGTGCAATTAGACCTCTATTGCATCTGCAAGCAACCCAACCCGTGTCGGTCGGTATCTCGCCGACTCGTCTGTGCCTTGCCCCTTTGCGACCAAACATCCCCGCGGCTGTCACCATACACACAATGATTGAGTTCCTTATAGATAGCACCTGTGAGTAAGGGGGTTGTTCTATATTCAAAGAGAAAAAATGACTGCAAGTGACTGGAGGCCGTTGCCTCGAGGGCACACATTGCGGCTTGAAGCAAGCTTAACTTCGAAAGTCTCTTTATCTGCTAGTTTTTGTTGTTAAATTTAACGTCTACTTCCGCCTCCATGAGGGCATGAGCCGTTCTTTATCTGCTATGTCATGTAGAGAAGATATATGTTACGCACGCACGGAAGCAGGCTGTGGCTTTGATCACTGATGTCGTTGGCCGTACCCATGGGCTCACATCGACGACGATCATCTTCAAGACGGATCGAGATTATTGGTCTGCTACGATGCTGCCCCTGGCGAGGCTGCTTATTACCAATGAGGATGGCTGATTTCGTGAGTCAGCCCAGAAGCAACCACAACGCAGCCTGATGTGTAGTCTCGTGGTACTGTAGGGCCGCCACACTTCAGAGGCAGCCTGTCATGGTCCAAATGCTTCGGCTATCTCGTCCGAGGGGTGGTGATGACGTAAGCTGGGAAACGAGGGGATATTGTGGCATTAAACACTCGGGTCAATAGGCAAAGCAGAAGCATGTACTCTGTTCTTTAGTCCGCACGTCCAAAGCTGAGGAAGACGGTTCTGAAAGAACGAGCCCTCGGCCGGGCCTCAAGGCGCAGAACGCCGATTCCCTGTCACCTTTGATCTCGCGCCGTTTTGTGGCATCAACGCCACTGAGCAGGCGTTGAAGCGTATCGTAGCTGGCGCTGTTTGATGAGAGAGGGGAAGGGAAAAAACATGTAACAAACCCCTAAAACCTTTATCAGTATACGGCCCGAAAAACTGGAGCGCTGATTGGAGCCGAGTGTCGGTGCAGCTTCTCGGACACCTACTGGGTCCGCACTGGCTCATTGTGCCTTTTGTATTGGAGGAGGGTATCATTCAACCATGTCACTTTATAAATACAAGACCGCCAACCTCATCAACATCGGTCGTGTTCCGCCGTTGATGAAGTGGTCTAAGCGGAACCGTTGATGTCCATCTCGATGACCGCCCAAGACTTGTCGACCCAGTCGCGCTTCTCGCCAAGGAAGACGACACGCTCAGAGGCGTTGTCAAGGGCCTTGACAACATACTTCTGCGCCACTTCCCGGACCTGATCCTTGGTAACATCCAAGAGTTCTTCGCGGCGCTTCTGTTTCATCTCGTCGGTGATACCGTAGAGGAACTGGGCCATGCCTTCTTCATTGACGGCCTTGGGAGCGTCAACGCCCTGGAAGACAGAGATCTTGGCATCCTCAAGATCACGATCAGTCCACTTCTTGTCAACCGCCCACTGGCCGGCGTTCCGCATGATCTTGAGCGTGTTCACAGGGTTCGGGTCGCGGTACGAGTAGAAGCCGAAGATGCCGTCAAGCGGGCGGGCGTAAGATCCGCCGCCGTAGGCGCCACCCTTCTCACGAATCTCGTGATGCAAGTGCTTGTGGGTCAAGAGCTGCGAGAGAATCTGGAGAGGGGCACCCTCGGAAGCCGTGTAAGAAACCGTAGGGAGAGCCAAAGCACCATAGTAAACCTGATAAGGCAAGGGATAGAACGCCTTGATATCACGGGTAAACTTGGGGGGTCCCCGGCTCGGGAAAGTCACCGCTTCCGAAGGCAGCGAGTTAACAAAGTTTGAGAGCGCTTTTGCGTTGTCAGAGACACTTCCGCTGTCGCAGGTGATGGCGGTACGGAGATTGCCAGCCAGTGCAAACTGTTGGATTTGCTTAAGCTTTGCAATAACATCCTCCAACGAGTCTGACTCGGGCCGGCTTGCCAAGCTAGTCACCAGCTTTACCTGCGAGAGACCGCTAACCTGCTCCTTGAGGAAGGAATCCCACGTAAGGCCAGATTCCGCGGCTCTCCGAGCGTAAGCGTGTCCCGATGAAGCAATATCGTTCACGACGCCATCAGCGGATGCCTGCAACAACTGACGAATCTGTTGAGCTGCTTGAGGACTGTCGAAGTCAGTCTCTACGACCAGCTTGCGCAAGAGGTCAAACATCGTTGGCACATGACGATCCAATGCCATGCCCGAGAACACCAGGCCTTCTGTGGCCCGAGTGAAATCAGTTGGCTGGGAAGCCGAATGGTAACCGACCGAGACACCTCCAGTCTTGAGCTTGATCAAATCCTCAAGCTGCTCCATTGTCATGTCCTTCGTACCCAGACGCATGATGGAGTCAGTGAAGAGGGGGATCAGGCTTCGGAGCTCATCGGGCAGGTTCTCCAGCTGGTTGATAGCACGGAAGTAGGTCAACCCGTTTGTGGGAGCCTCGCGCCACTGTGTGTTGACTCTTGCTGTGTTATCGTGTCTCAAGATAACCGAGTCCTTCTGGCGCGGAATGTCCTTGACATGCACGCTAGGAAGGCAGCTAAGGTCTTCGGTGTTGGTCTTGCTTTGCTCGGCCAACAACTTGAGTTCCCGAGCCTCGAGAGCAGCACGAGCTTCCTCTTCGCTACCAGCAGCTTTGACGACTTCCGAAATCTTGGTGCTCAAGCGGGTTTCCTCCTCTTGGGCAAGCTCCTGGCTGAAGGTTGGCGAAGGCGCCATCGTGAAGGAGAGAGTATTGTCGTTGATCAGATACTTGTCAATCAAGCCCTCAAGATAACCACCCTTGGCAAGCTCAGTCTCAAAAGCAGCAATCGTGTCGTTCCAGGCAAGAGAGTCAAATGGATCGACTCCGGTAAACCACTTGGGCTTCAAACGGTGAAGCAAAGACATGCCAAAATTGGCAGTCTTGTGCTTAAGGCCGAGCTCAAGCTGATGGAGATAACCATCAATCTTTGATCTCTCAAAGCCCTTGTCCCGCATGCTGCGCAGAATCTCCTGTACCTTGGACTTGACCTTAGGCACATCTTCTTCCTGAACACCGCTCAGGCCAATGGAGAAGATACCAAGCTTGCCCGAACTGTCATACCCTGTGTTAGGGCTCCAGTCCGTTCCTAGCCCGGATTCAATCAATCCCTTGTAGAGAGG